AGGCAGGCTCTGGAGTCCCGGGGCTATGTCTGGGTTCACCCTGCTGGGCTTGTGTCAGGCTTCCATGCCCTCACCTTCTCCGATGGCTGGATTTGATGCACTTAACTTGGTTTGTTGCATGGGTTGTCTTCGTGGGCATTTCCCTGTTAAAAAAAGAAAAAGAGAAAAAAAAAAGTTTGCAAAAATTGTTTGCAAAACAAATTTGCAAACAATGTTTGCAAAAATTTGCAGACATTTTGCATGTTCGCAAAAGGTGCGTGGTCACACTTGGGTGGAGGTGCTGGGTGCGCATCTGCCCGAGCTCCGTAGCACTGACCGGTGGAGCCCGGGTGCAGGCGCCAAGGTGCTCGACCGAGGGGGGGGGAGGGAGGCGGTGGGCGCGTTTTTTGCTTGTGGGTTTGGCTCGCGCCCCCGTGGCCCGCAGCCATACTGATGAGGACCCCGAATGGGAGCCCCAGCTGCAGAGCCCACACCAGGGACGAGCACCCAGACCCCTGGGCACAGTTGTCCAACCACCCCACAGGACACCTTCCCTGCACCCCATTTTGGCACCAGCACCCCGTTATCTCAGGGAGGGGCAGATCATGGAAACGCCCACCCGCACACTCCCCTTGCCCTGAGCCTCGGGGTGCCCCTTCCCCTCCGTCCCATCCTTGGGTCGCTTATTTATTTATTTATCTATCTATTTATTTATTTAGTTAGTTATTTAAGGTTTAAGTTATTTATTGGTATTTATTGACAGCTGGAAGTCGAGAGGTCATTTCTGCTGCACGGTGGGGGCAGCTGGGCGTCCCGTCCCACCCCCTCCAACCCTGTGTGTTTTGGGGTGTTTGGGAGCAGCGCTGGGAGGGATGCTTGTGGGCCCCTGCGCTCCCACCTCCTTTTGGAGCTGAGGGGGGAGAAAGGAAGGGGAATCACATCGGTGCCTGCAGGGAGGACACCCGATGTCTGTCCCCTTCCTGCAGAAGCTCGAAGCCCCCGTGCCCCCTCCCCCCCCTCCCGAACCCGTCCATATTTATTGACCCAGCCTCCTGGCGTTTCTCCGTTCGGCTCCCGCTGGATTTGCTGTTGCCAGTTCCCGGAGATGGTGAGAAGAGCCAGGACGTGTGGGTGTCACTATGGAGAAAAGACCAAACCAGGTATTCTGCTGCCGCGTGGGGAAGATGGGAAGGAGAAGAGGAAAGCTGGTTTTGCAGAGTGCCTTAAACACAAATGACTTTACTGAGTAGGGGGCTTGGACTTCTGTCTCTGGATGTTATTACCAATTCGAACAAATGTTGCATTTCACTTCTCTGGGATTAAAAGAAAACCACTCGAGCTGTACTGGAACCAAACCCTGTGTTTGCTTGAGTCCGTCTGGCTGGCTTGCACCTCTGGGGCCACGGCAGCGTCGTGGAGCAGGCAGGAACTCGTGGGCTTTCGGCTGTCAGTTTTTTTGGGACCAGCGGCTGCCCCTGCCAGCTTTAAGCCCCTGGGTCCGGTAACGGGACTTGTTCCCCCTTGTCCCAACTTGCAGGTGGCTTCTCTGGTGTCCCAGAGAGGTTGCGCTTGCCCTGCAGCGCCCCTTCCCTGGGGATGCTCGGAGCAGCCTGTTTACCCAAAGCTTGCCATGGGGCCGTGTCCTCAAACTTCCCAAAAATGGGGCAGTTTGTTGGTTGGAAAGCTCTGGGAGGAGGTGCAGACAGCCCCTTTTCCTTTAGGAAACCAGATCGAGGTGAGGGCTGTGTGCCGAGGGAAGAGCAAGAAACTTGGGAGCTTGTGCAGCCCAGCCATGGGGAACTAAGGAAACTGCCAAGCTTGGTAAGGCTGAAAAACTACACAGGAAAGAGATGGCTGCTCTTTGAAATTGCAGCTCCCCCTCCCACTTCTTGCAAAGTGAAAGAGGGAGAACAAAAGCCAACCCAGAGACCAGGTGTTTTTAATCTTCTAGTAAAAATAATACATGGGGATAATGCAGAATTTCCTAACAAAGGTTCATTTAAAAGTCATTTGGGAAAAAATACCAATATTGACTGTAGAGTTCCTGAAGACAATTAAATATTAGTATAAACCTTTTTTTTTTCTTTTGGTAATGAAAGAGAGAGTTCTCTGAAACACAGCTGTTTGGGAATGGATGTCCTCAGTGGGGTGGCCTGGCCTGCATGCCGGGGTGAAGGACAGTGATGGGTGGCAGGAGGAGCCGGCAGCTCTGGATGTTGTTCGAGGACTGACGGGCCACATCCCAGGTGGGTGCAGGTGCTGCCCCAGGATTAGGGTCCGCAGGATGCCGGAGGGCATCTCGCTGCATCCTATGCATTGCTTACCATGAACATCAACCCTACTAGTCCCCGCTTGCTGTGGGGTATGTTTGTGCCCTGAGCCAGCCAATTTCTTTAACAGCTGCTCATTTTGAGTGTTGCTGGGCACCAAGAGGTGCTGGCAGACAGCCTATGAGCTATTCGGTGAGCGGGTTTCTTTCCTAGCGTTATATTAAAACATCGCTCATCTCTTGACAAATCCCTGAGGTGTAGGTGTGGGAGAGCAGTGAGAAGTTTGCATGGCTTGTATCGTGCTTGCTCACACCCTGTTAAGCAGGGTAGGACCCCCCACCCAGCACCTAATGGCAAGCCAGGCTGAAGCACATTCTCTGAGCAGGTATCTCCTTCCCACCACTCAGGCTCTGCCATAAAGCAGGGGCAGCACAGCTGCCCTGGGCACTGCTGCCTTGTCTGAGACTACGTGCCCTGGAACAACCTGTGTCTCCAAAGTGCCTTATTTACAGAGCAAGAAGAAGAGCAATCTGTGCCGCTGCCACCCACCCAGGAGCACGGGCACACATCCCAGCTGCACGGCCACAGGGAACAAAGTAAATGGTGCAGGGTACTGTGGACATCAGCAGAGGCAGGCAAGGGATACTGCAGATAGTACTGAAGATCAGTTTATTTGCTCTATTCCCTCTTCCATAAAACCTGAAAACAATCAACTTCCAGCAAGAGATGAGAAAGCAGTAAGAAGTGAGAGATTTGGCTCTGCAGCTCCTCCCCTACGCATGAGACCAGACAAAGGTGTTAATGTGTTAGTGACGGCTGCTCCAAAAGGCACAGCGCAGTTTGGAGCCCCCGAAGCTCCCTGATGGGAGGCGTGTGAGCCCAGTAGGACATCCCTCTGGGACCTGGCTGCTGACACCACGCTTCCCACTGTGGCTTCAGGAAAAGCTCAGCCGGTGCCAAACAGGAGAGACTTCACAGCGTGAGCCTTGTAGCCCCCACTGGTCTGCTAACCTCCTCCTTGTGGGGCTGATTCAAGGCAAGAAAACACCCAGGGTTTTAATTTTGAGGGGATGTGGGGGATGAAAGGGATGGGGAGGATTGGTTTAGTATTGCGATGCACCATCAGTGTGACCGTACGAGGCTGCTGATCATGCGGTGTCAGGGAGGCAGGAGCTGGGCACGGGCAAGGCTCCCAACGCCAAACGATGGGCAGCCCGGGGGGATGGATGGGCAGACCCGCTCACTCTGGCTGCGGGGTGTAGCGCAGGTACTTCTTGCCCGACGGGAGGTCCTTCGTGAAGACTCCTTTGGGAAAGAGCTTCTTGGCTTCCTCATCAGGTAAGGTGGGCACGACCATGACGCTGTCACCAGGCTGGGGAGCAAATGGGAACTGTGAGAGCAGCAGATGGATGCTTGGATGTAGGTGGCACATCCCTGCTGGCAGGTGACACGGCCTCCCCCTGAATGCTCTGCCCCAGCACCCCAGGCACATCCCCTGCAGCTCTGCCTGGAGCTGGCAGTGAGGACTGAGCTGGAGCTACACCAGGAAGTGTGGGTGATGTGGAAAGGGAGAGCTGTGCCGCCTGCCAGCCCTGCCAATGGGATCCCACAGCCTAGCTCTTCCCTACAGCTCTCCCACAGGAACAGGGAGTAACAAGAAGGGAATTTGGGCATCTCCACGATGCAGGAGGGAGCACAGCTTGCCTGAGTCTGCTCATCCATTCCTCTTGCTCAGGTGCCCCTGGACAGGCTCCCGCTTGGTGTGCCAAGCCCCAGGGAAAGGTGTGCTTCCCTGGGAGGGGGGCTGGTGCACTGGCCCCGCACTGCTGGGAGCTTACGCTGCAGGAGACAGGAGTCTTCAGAGGCAAGGCTGCCTCCGCGCTCCGCTTTGCCTCAGGAAGCGAAGGTGCAGTCTGTTGTACACTCAGCACATGGACGCTGGTGTTGGGGGGTGGAGAGGCATGATGAAGTGCACCGATACCCTGAGTTACTCAACCTCCCAGGCTTGTGCCTACAGGGCCTTCCTGCCCAGATGAAGTGGGTGTTTGGGACAATGCTCTGGGAGCCTGGTCCTGCCTCATAACACAGGACAACTTCTCGAGGACACTCTATAACCGCAGGATTTTGTCCTCTGGCTTCAGACAGGCAGGCTTCCCCAGTAACAGCTATCAAAGCCAGTGGCAGGGCAGGTCCTGCTGGGCTGAGGAAACACTGGCTAGCTAAAGCAGCCAGAGTGTGCTGTTTGTTCTTGCTTTATCTTGGCTGCCCAAACTTGTTTTGGGGAGTTTTAAATATTGCTACTGAAAGGGACGGCCACAACTAAGCAACTTCAACTAGTAATTCTCCACGAGGATAGGACTCTGCCGTGTATGTGCTGGGCAAAGTGAGGCCATGCCCATACCGGCCCTTCCTGGCTCAAAGGCAGGAGAGCAACGAGCCAGCCCAGGGAGGGGTGCCCCATGCTTGCTGCTTAGCTGGCTTTGAGTGGACTTTGGCATACTGACGCCTGGTAATGCCCTTCCTTATCACAGGCAACAAGGGCAGGACCTGCCTTGGCCCAGAGCTCAAGTACTGATAGCCAGAAGGGCCAAACTCAGTATTTGCTGGCACCAGGGACCAAGGGCAGGGCAGGGAGGTTCCTATGGCTGACTCCAGACTGCAAAAGCCCCACTGCCTGGGCTGGGATCAAATTCCTATTGCAGGACCTCAGCAGGTTTCCTCACCCTGTGGGTCCCCCTCCAAGGGAGGCTGGTTGACATTTCAATGCATGTTTTCAGTGGCTGGCTGTGAGCTTTGTCCCCCTCCTCACCTTCCAGTCCACAGGGGTAGCGACCTTCTTGTATGCCGTCAGCTGCAGGGAGTCCACGACTCTCAGGATCTCATCAAAGTTTCTCCCGGTGGTGGCTGGGTACAGGATGGAGAGTTTCAGCTTCTTATCCGGGCCAAAAACGAACACCTGAGCACAAGAAGACGGGGTCAGGGGCTGGGCTGAAGGTGTCTGTCCAGCTGCCCTGCTGGATCTGCTCAGTCCTGCTGCTCCTCCCTTTCTTGGGAGATGGCCTCCCTGATCGCAGGTGTTGGGACAGGGGAGATGCCATGGCAGGGATCTCCTAGAGCAACAAGTGATGCCCAGGCACAGGGAACACAGTGTTTCCTCTGGGAGCTCCTGTTTCCAATGCCAGCTTGTTTTGCTAGTTGCAATGTTTCCCCCTCTTGACCTGTGCCCTTCTAATGCAAGCATGGGAGGGGAGAGGGAAAGTCGAGCACATCAAGCACTTTTGTCCCCTCTGTGTTAGGACAGGCACAACCAGGATAAGCTGGGGGCAATAGCAAGATAGAACTGTTGCCAGCAGGCCAGCGCTGTGCCAGCCTCTTCCTGCAACACAGCCCATGGATCTAGCCCAAGTCAACCTAGCTCCTGAAGATGGTCACGTCCATCCAGGTAAGCTGCCCCCATCTTCAAGCCCCGCCCCATGGACACAGGGCAGGATGGCAGGCGATGCCTACTGCTGAGAAGGCTGCCGTGCAGCAGTGCTGCAGGGCCAGGTACTCACCACACGAGCAGTCAGAGGCATGCCATCCTTGTCCTGCTCATCCGGGTCTAGCATGCCCAGCTTGACAGCGAGCTCCCGGTTTGCATCAGCAATGATGGGGAAGGGGAGTTTCTCCTGGGGTTGTTCCCCATTGTATGCGTTGATGTCCTGCAGAGACAAAACCATCGGCATGCTCACGCTCCCTGTTGTGGGTACCACCATGGGAGACAGAGGCCAGGCAGGGAGACCTCCATGCAGGCTTTATGTGTGTGGGGCAAGCTCCTGCAGAGGGGCCATGCAGAAACACATTCAGCAGCTGCTCTACAGGAGCTCGTGACTTGCTTGGCCCCAAGGTCTCAGGCTGGGACAGCACAGCCAGGGGCTCGTGAGGTTCCTCTGCTTCCAGAAACCAGGTGACAAACCAGGAACTTGCATGCCAGGCCAGACTCTGCCTTGTTATTAGAGGTTAGTTGTAGGCTGTCTATGCGCACACCCTGTTGCTCACCTCTGGAACTGCCCGTGGACCAGCTGCTTTGCCCAGGCAGTGGGTATGAAGAAATAGGGAAGTCCTGCCCATGCTAGTGACACAGGGAGATTTAACCACCTTTCCCTGAGAGGTGTCCCTCTTCCGACCCTCCCCTAGTAAGTGATCTAGCACTACTGACACATGTGTTGGCGTCACATCTGAACTGGACTGTGCTCTTCAGCAACAGTTTCTCTAGCAGCAGAGCAAACCAGCAACTCTACAGCTAACAAAGGTCAAGTGTCGAACATTCCACAGGTCCTCTGCGAGGGACCAGCTCCGTTCAGCAAGTCACTCCTAGCTTACATAAGTAAACGCTCTTGAAAACCGCGCAAAAGTCTGAGTGCATATGCTGGGACACTGCACACTCCTTTCTGAACCCTGGCTGGGACAGAAGAGAAAACCATCCCCTTCCAAAGGTGTTCAGGCTCTCCCTTGTGACCACAGTTTATGAGTTTGCTCCCTGTGCTAGTCCAAACTTGACCTGCTTCACAGGGGAAACTGTATTTTGAGCGTCTCCAAATCTGGTCTGGACTTGGCCAAAGCCTTCAAGTTATCCTTGTAGTTTGTGGTACCACCTGCACGGGTCACACTGAGCCACAGCAGGACTGGGAGGAGCCTGCTCAAGGCAACACAAACAGAGCAGCTGCCAGCATTAACGTAATTTTAATACAAGGTTTCTGCCCCAGAACAGAGCTGCTTGTTCCTTCCATTCTCTTTATGCTACAATGGGACAAAACTGTCTCCAGTGCTGACGCAAGCCTCCTGTGCACCACTGTGCTGCGTTATCAACTGAGCTGATAATTTGTATGTACAAGTCTCTTCATCTTCCCTGGGCTTTGAACGTGGGGGAACAGGCTGGGCCCTGCTCAGAGGCAACTTGGGGAGGGCAGGGTTGGAAATGCTGCCCCTTGGTACTGCCCACTGCTGCTCAGAGCATGCCAGAGGGGGCACGAGCAGGCAGGTCCTGCACCACTCCTCAGCCTTCCTAGGCTGACGGTGGTGACATAAGGGGCTGTAACCCTGCCCCGGCTGCTCAGGATGCTGCAAGCAGGTCAAGTGGTGCACACGTGGCGAGACGTTTCCTTTGTAGTTCTTCTATTTGCTTGTTTTCTGCCCAGGGCTTTCTGAGTCAGCACTGCACTGCAAAAAGGGGCTGTTTATCTCAGCTGTGTTGTGGTCAGACCTGGCTTGGAAGGAAGGAATCGGTTCTGTTCTCCTGCAGACCTGCCTTGTCAAAGCAGAGCGGGGAAGGAAAGCAGAGCCAGAGAGGCCAGCCAAGGCGAAATGCTTCTGAATGCCCCACAGAGTCACAGGAGGCTGTAGATGAAGATCAGACAGTGACACCCGCCCGCCCTCTTCAGAGTGGGGGCTGGAGGATGAAAAGAGCTTGTGAGAAGCAATATCTGAATCCTATGGACTGTAACTCGTTCCAAAACGCACGTAATTTCATGACCTGGGATCTCTCTACAAAGCAGCCTCACAAACCCCACCCTATTTTGCAATAAGACACCCAAGACTCACTCACTTCCCTATGAACTATTCTTGTTTCCAGAGTCCAAGCTGAAATCAGATATCACTCCAGGAGATCATGCATTCAGCCAGCGCTTGAAGAAGTAGTGCACAGACTGGGGAGGGAGGAAAGTGAGATTAATCCCTGGCTGAGCTACGGGCTTGTTCCAAGCCCTGGAGCACGCCTCTGGGTCTTGGCTAGGGATGGTTAAGAATAGTAGTGACATCTTTGGCTGGAAAAGCAGAGCTGAGCGAAGTGACATGAGAACTATTGGCTATACTCTGGTCCCACCTTTCCAGGCCCCATCTGCCCACCGAAGCTTGGCAGCAAAGCAAGCAAAAGTTTCTGTGTTGTTTCATGCAGGATTTCAGCCATCCCTCCTGCCCACTTGCTTCCTCACATGCTGTGCTCCAGATAAAACCAGCTTCATCCTCTCACTACTGCTAGAAGCTTCATCCAAAGAGAAAGCATAGGTATGTAAAGGAACGTTGCACAGAGAGGTCTGTCCAAAGTTTTGCGCACTCCTAGGACTTCTCTCGAAGTTAAGATCTAGTGAAGGAAATTGCAGTTTCTAGATCTCAATCTAGCACTTAATGAAGACTGCTTTTGTCCAGACAGGCAGCTTCTGCCAAGGCTTGGTATCTCTTTTTTTTATCCCATGGCTGGGCAGGAGAAGCTTTGGAGCACTGCCCGTGGTCTCAGACTTGCAGCAGGCCCCAACATTCGCCCTCCTAGTTCAGCTCTTTAGCTCTCTGCGTTATCTGAAGTTCTTCTCTGCTTTGTCAAAGACAAAGGAAAAGGATCACATGTATGGGCAAGGTCTAAGAGCAGAGCAACCACATCCCTGTCCTCTCTTACATCCTCCACAACACAGGCATGCTGCGTTCACTGCTCCTCCATGCTCCCCGCACCACGCATGGTGTTGCACCCTGACATGTTCTCCTGCTCCCAAGCTAAAGAGCCCCAGTTGCTCTGCACTGAAGCAAACCTGCCCAAAACTGCAGGCAGCTTTGTTCCCCCTCTGCAACTTTTCTTGTTCCCCTGTAGTCTGCGAGATGAGCTATTTCAAACACAGGCTGCATGGAAGACTCCAGTTTGCTATGGATTTGTCCTCACCAAGTGGATCTTTTGCTCTGGAGAACTTTCATGGTTTTCTTTTTGACAGATGCTGAGCCAACATCGCCAAACCATTGTCTCTGAGGCCTCTCCCAGCCTGCCAGAAAGCTCACCGCAGCTTGGACCACTGCCCTCTGCCTTTCGCCACGCTTGTTCTGGAAGGTTTTCCAAACATGCTACTCTGCCTCCCATCAGTCAGCGTCGAGAGGCTGTTCTGCAACTTCTCCTGGTTTTACCTGAGGTTGCGCTGAATAATTCCATAGCATCAGCAAAGTCAGCTCGTTGTTCATCTCTTTTCCAGATCACCCGAGTATGCTGAATGCCATGCGTCACTGCAGACCCTGGAGGGAGCTCACCGCTTCCCTCTCTTGACACAACTTATTGCTTCCTCCTGTCTCCCTGCAGGAAAGAACCGGTCCTTCCCAAAGCTCATTTTGGTGAAAAGCTTCCCTTCTGACGCTTGGTGGGACATCGGCCATGCACCACTCAGGTATAAAGGTCAATTTAAGCAATAAGGCAATTAGGTAATTTCTAAAGCCAGTCAGTCATGAAACAATGTTTGAGTGTGGAAATTTCTCACCTTTACTACCTCCTATTGCAAGCCCTTACCCCTAGAAAATGCGTGAGAACATTGCCAATTTTAAGAGCAAAGAAAGAGGCAGGTAATTCACCCAGGGATTTTTACACTCTGGCCATATCTGTCTGAAATGCTCGTTTTACACCCCTACCGCCTATGAGCCCTGGAGTCATACTCCCTGGCAGCACACCATTGCTGAGGCTGTGTTTGAAGTCTTTTATTAGTTTCTTTTATGTTCCTTCAGCAAGCTATTTCGTTCCCATCTTCTTTTATACTCCCTCATGATGGTTTTATATTTAACATTTTCCTACTTGTGGTTTTATGTTTAACATGTCTGTTTGTTCTCTGTTTTCTTTTCCCTGCCTGGGCATGAATCGCACCCTTCGAAGATTGCCTGTTCACTTCTGATGTCTCTTTTCCTTTCCTGTTCTATTACAGAACTTTTTGAGTGTCCATGGATAGGTTGCCTTCCTCTGAGCTTTTGGCAGCACCTTCACATACGTTTTACTCTTTCAGGTATTGGTGCGAAAGCAGTAACACTGTTTTCCTCTTGTTTCAAAGTGTCAGTTCATAGAGTGCCCTGGACTTTGTGGCGTGGTCTATCAAGATGGAGCAGACCTTTCTGTTCCTGCTCTGAATTTTAGCACCTCCTGTTCTACCTGCTTTGGGATTTGAGATATATAGTTCTGAGCCTGTGCTCTGTTCTGTGTGGGCTTTTCCTCTGGCCTTCAGAGCAAGGCAGCAGTGCAAGCTCCCCTTGTGCCTCCCCACGCCCTGTACCTTGCTCCAGGAGAGATGGTCTTGGACATTGTCAATGGAGAGGGCGATCATCTTCACGTTGCGCTTGCTGAACTCGGGCGCCAGCTTTGCTGCCCGGCCAAGCTCTGTCGTGCAGACGGGTGTGAAGTCCCGTGGGTGGGAGAAGAGGATGCCCCATCTGAAAGAAGAAAGCAGGAGTCAGCTTTAGGGCGAGATGTCGTTCTGGTTTGTACTGCAGACAAAAAGCTGCACAGATTGCACTGCATGTGGGAACAGCTCATCCCTCTGCTAAGTGGAAATCCTGTCCTGGGAACTATTCCTTCCCTATCGCTCGATGCCTTCATGAGACAAGCCTTGTTCATCATGCTCCGAGAAACTCCCTGTGCCTTGCTCCCCCTCTCCCTCCAGGATCCCACAGGGGATGCTGGAATAGCCCACGGTTCTTGATGTGGAGGTGGACACCATGCCATGCGAGGACGTTTCGGGGAGCCACGTGTACACTCTGTACCCCAGAGATCACACGTGCGAGGGGATGTAGATGCCAACCTGGAGTCACATTATTGCAGATATCATTACTGATTTACAAGGCTAATCACTATCCTGTATACCTCATCAACCACCATGAGGAGAAACACCCAGTATATCATGCAACTTAAAAGAATGGGATAGGACCAAACCTTAACCCAACCACTGCCATGAGCTGCCCAACATACTTAATGAAAAAATAAAAATTAATCAACTAACGAGGAAGGCCAGAAGTTAACATCATATTATGGCTACTGTTACAACAACACTGCCACCTCGCTTTTGCCCATTGCTTCCCAGCAATGGATTTTGCAGTCTTTAGAGCAGGCAAATACTACTCACCCCACTTCACAGGTAAGGCAATTGGCGCACAGAGAAAGGCAGTGATGCAGTCCGGCAGCGAGATGGGCTTATGGCAAAACAGCTCTCAGGAGCTTCCAGAGGCTAACGCAAAGCCACCCCCAGCACTTAAAATTCCCTGCCAAGGACTTGTCGCACCATTTCTCAGCTCAACATTCGCAGGGCTTGCTGCGCCGCTCTTCGCCTCGCCCCCAGCGCTCGGTAAATACAGCCGCATGCCACAGCAGCTGGGGAAAGCCCTGTCTTAGAGATTTGGGAAGGGAGCTGGAGGGATCAAGTGAGGCACTCTGCAGCTCTGCCAGAGCCGTGCAATTGCCACGGCTCACCGTGAAGTGACAGGGCAGGTACCCGGCCACTGCTGCTACAAGTCTCTTTATACAAGAAGTATACTACTTGAATAAAAAACAGCAAACAACTGAATAGAAGCTGGCCAAGAAAGCAGTCAGTTTTAAGAAGCCCTGCAGCTTATTTTCTCGCTAAGAGGGTTCCTTTTTCCCCATTTGCCCAAGCTCACAACGCCGAGAAGTGAATTCAAATGCTGATGCAAGCCTGCCAAGCGCTGCCGGGAGCGAGTCCCAAAGGTGCTGTGCCAGCACCCTCCAAGTTGTGCCAGAAATGGAGCAACAGGCTTTGCGGGCAGCAGTGCCTGAAGGCACGCGGCTTTCCATGTCAGGCTCAACCAGGACCAGGCCCTTTGCCGCTGCTCGATTACACACCTTCGCATGCCTGGGCTCACTCATCAGGGACATAGGTGGTGACACAGGAGCTGACCTCTGGGACTGGCCTGGACTAAGTGCTGCTCTGGCAAGCCTGGCTTTGCCCTTCCCTGGGCTCTGCTCTTTTCAGAGCACCTCTTCCCTCTCCCTGAGGGCTCGGCTCGCCCTCTTGCCCCGCAGGAGGGGACGGCGAGCACGGGGAGAGGTGGCTCTGCCGACTCGGAGGAGCCCGTATGCCCCTCGCCGCCGCGGTCCCCCGGGAAACTGCAGTCAG